AAAAGACCAAACAATACCTGAACTCCCCACCTTCTCCGGCTATAGTGGACAAGCTCTCCCCTGCTTGCATGTCTCCGTCTGAGGTGGAGATCCATACCTCTGGCTCTGCCCCTGGTGAGGAGGAGGAAGGTATCTTCAGCTTCGCCGTGACTTCAGCACTCCCACTACCCTCCAGCAGACCACAAGGGGAGAGGAGACCACCGCCCCGTAAGCTTCTGAAAAGACTAAACTCTGAACCATGGGGCCTGGTGGCTCCTTCTGTACTTGCTGAGAGAGCGGAGCAGATAGAGGGCGATTTAGCAGAGGAGGACAAGTTGGTTTCGGAGATGAATGGGGTGACAATTTCTGGTCCAGGCAGACCTCTCCTGACCCGAAGGCACAGTATTGAGACCCATGACCCATCTTCTCCAAAGCTGATAGACCGGTCCTGTTCGGAAGACTGTGCAGCACTGTGTGGCTCTTCCTGGGCGGATAAAGTCCATCAGCACCAGTCATTGTATCGTCGAAACACGGCCCCTGAGACTCAGGACAGTGTGGCTCAGGCACCTACAGGAATCCGTGGCTTGCCACACCCCAAACTCACCCGCATGGAACACTACGAGTCGGACACCCACCTGTGCCCTGCCTCCATTCCTGGATCTCCAGATTCTGGACGTGTCTCAGTGGAGCGCCGCAAGTACAATGCCTCTCCCTTGTCGCTGCTCACCAGCTCTTCTCGAGAGTCTCTGGAGAGTATTCCCAACTCGGTGTCTCCTATTACAATGCGGCGGCGTCCAACAGGACTGTTGGAACGGCGGGGATCAGGCACTCTCCTTTTGGACCACATCTCCCACACAAGACCTGGGTTCCTTCCGCCTCTCAACATCAACCCTCAGCGACCCATTCCTGATATCCGAGCCAATGGAAAGCCCACTTCTCCCGTTCACTCAGGTAGCAAGATCCTGCTGCCGGTTGCGCCATCGTCCCCAAAACGTGGACCAGATTTCAAGATGAAGAAGAAACTGATGAGACGACACTCGATGCAGACAGAGCAGATGAAGCAGCTTTCGACTTTCCGGGAAATCCTCACAGAAAAGGTGATGGAGATGAATGGAGATTGAGGGCAAGAGAGAAGGAGAACGAGAGAGAGTCAGAGCCGGCCGAGAGTTTTCATCACCGGGTTAATCTACATCTTCTTTGAGGCAAACCTTCTCTGGTCCAGTTCAGCTCCTTTAGAACTTAATACATACATCAAAAATATGCATTGTGGAGACAAAACCATCTTCAAATCCAGACAATGAAAGAGAAAACGGTCATTCAAGATCATAAAAGGGATCAGTTATTCCAAATTTGGAGACCAAATGTTATCTGTTAGACCGAATGTTATTTAGGATTATTCCTTGATCATCGAGAATGCTTGAAGATGGACCCATTAGTGTCAGTGGAAGTGCTGTTGGTGTTTGAAATTGCTGCAACCCTCAGATGAAACCTCACAGATTTTGTGCTCTACAGGTTTCTCTAAGTATTAGCGCTGTTATGGCGATCAGCCTTCTTATTGTTGTGCACTGTCAGAAAAAAAAAAAGCAAAAATTTTACCTTTAGGGGGTACAGCTGCTTGTTGATGGGGCAGTACCCTTAAAAGGATTTAATACTTATTATATTTAATACCAATTTATACTTTATCTACCCCTAAAAGGTGCGTATTTGTACCTTAGAATAGTAATATATACACTTAAGATACTACTATGTATCTTTTGGGGGTAAATCAGGTACAAAGATGACCCAATAAGGGTACAAGCTGTTGTACACCTAAAGGCACAATTTTTGCATATTTTTTTTCTGTGATGATCCTGTGGAATAATTGGGTTAATACTCTTAATATTCCTTTGGTAACAACATCAAGTGTAGTTCAAAACTCTCAAATTAATTTCTTCAGCCATTACAGTACAGCTAAATTGATTCAATATTTTCATTCAAATGTGAATTGAATTTAAAGTTGATCATTTACTTACTTGTAAATAATAGTGCTCAACTCTTTTTAATGCGATATTTATTTCTGCGTGGTTGTTTTGGACTGAAGGTTCGGAATTGTAGTCCTTGAAGAACTTTTAATTTGGCAATGACAAGCTTCCTGATTTTTTTCCACGGGATGTACACTATAGATTATCGGAGATGTCTGACTGCTAAATATTCCTGTAACAAATGATAGCGTAAGATGATGAACACATTTCTGAAGAACATTTTATTGCATTATGAAAGTGCAATAAAATACTACAGGAATCAATTAACATAAAAACCATTTAAAAAGCTATATGACTAAAAACATAATTGTACCAGTTAAACATACTGCATGTTTCAGGGCTTTTGGATGGGTCGTTTATCTTTCTTAAAGTCTTCTAAGTGATACAAAATAAGTGAAGTGCAATTCTTGAAACTCAAAATCCCAAAGAAACTCTACAAAGCCCATCCGAAACCACATAGATCCACCCTGACCCGACTCAGTGGAGGGGAGAGAGAAACCCCTCGCATAACGCACACTCCCTCTGGAGACACAGAGCACAGATATTGTGTACATACTGTACAGAGTACAATTGTGTCTCAAGCGTTTGAACGTGCAATATTCTGTGCTGCCTCAGCACTGATTTCATATTATTATCGTGAATGTGATCAATCACTTGGACGTGTGTCTGTGGTAACATGCTGCGGTAAATAGTTCAAGACGAGCTAGGAGCTCAGTTTACATTCAGAGGAGGAATCTCTGCACAAAATACATGAGAATCAATTTCCCTAAAGAGCTGCAGTGCACAGTGTATCCGTGTCAAACAAATAGTTCAACTCAAGCTTATGATGTGAGTGAATTTAGTGCTTCTGCTTTGAGATGTTCTACACTTGATGTGAATTAAACTTAGTGTACTTGAAATGTATCATGAAAACAAAAAGAGGAATATTTTTTTATGCCTGTAGGGGTTTATTCTTGTTGTTTTTTATTTTTATTGAAACAAATTTTAATGTTTAATACCGAATTGTTGGTGGTGCAATTTCACTTTGACGTAGCTTTTGTGTTCCAGGATGTTTGTAAGAAATAATATATGAGCAGCCGGAGCTCAATGGTTACAGCAATCTTCCTGAAAACGATCGCGATAAAACCCAACCGGCTCCTGTTAAACCGACGGACTGAAATCCAGATCTCTGACTACCTAGCTCTTTGTTATCCTGATGCGATTACGAGAATCTTGGCACTTTGCTGTGTATTCATTGATTTCAGCGATTCTCCTCTTTTCATTTAACACACAAGCGAGATAACCGGGAGTTTGATTTGTTTCTAAATGTTTGTATCTAAATATCTCCATTATTTCTGACCTGCTGTACAAAAACATCCATTTCAATGAGTTGGAATTGTGTTCAAGTGTACCTGAAAAGATGTTAATAGTGTAAAGGGTGTTTTAGGTGCTGTACACAATGGACCTCCGTCTGTGCTACTCTGTCGTTGGGTAGTTTGAGCCGTACCTCTGCTCTCCATTCACATAGAAGGGTCACAGTTACACTATCAATGCATCATTTAATGGATTATGGATTAACTATTTCTTGTTATTTTGTATGTTTAGTGTGATACACAGGTCAAATGTAGTAAACCAAATAATTTTAAAAAGTATTAAATTATTTAAAACAAAAAAAAAAATCCCTGTTGTGCTACTTCTCTGAGGCGATCATTTTCTTCAAGAGCTTTTATCTGCTTTGAATAAATGCAAGACTGAATCACCAATTTATCTTAAATCTGTGGTTCTCAAGTGGCATGTTTAAGGTTTGTTCTAATAGGGTTGCGGACAGGAAAGAAAAATGATGCTAAATTGTGCTAAATGCTAAAGCAGAATAAGTTCAGCGCTCAATACTCACTTATGACGGTGAATTTTTGTCTTGGGAATGATGTTCGTTTTGGTCTATGTTGTTTCTCTATATAAAATGAACAAAGAATTTTATTGAGTACAGAAATGACTACATAAAAACTACATGTTCAATCGACTGTTAAATCGTATGCTAAGTGCACAATGTATGTGTTGTCAATTGAACATATACACATTAGGCTAAATGTGCTTTAGAAATCTTAGTACAGTTAAATCAAAAATTCGATCAGGCTAACATGGGATTTGTTTTTATGTGAAGTGAACAATTTTTATGTCATTTTGACATTTCTGAGTATTTGTGTACACTCTACAGTACACTAAAATTCTGTGTCATGGATGAGTGTATAGTGGTGAATGGAAGACTTTTTGTTGATTATTTATTTATTTTTTTAATATATAGATACAGAGATCGATTACAGCAGTTAGGAGAAAGAAAAATGTCCAATTTACAGTCACTCTCTGCTAATATAACACATAGTGCATACATATCGTAATACAAATATCTTAATACTTAATATTATATTATAATTATTATTCTATTAATATATTTATTCTACTATTATGCTATTAATATACTTACAAAAAGTACACTGTGACGAGAGGGGCGGGGCCGAAAGCCGTGGGAACGGAGCGAGGCCGGTGGGGTAAATGCTAATGCAGGACACCTGCCACGGAGGAGCTCCGGAAGGATAAAAGGACTCGAGGAGGAATGACGACAGTGTTGGACGAGACAGGACCAGGCCTGGACTTTATTTTGTGTTTTGTGTGCAGCAGTCGTCCGCGAGGGGCTGCCGCTTTACTTTCATTTTGTGTTTGTTTATTTTATTAAAGTTTTGTTTAAATGTTCGCCGGTTCCTGCCTCCTTCCCGATCTACAAACGTTGTTACATACACATTTTCTTATAAAATTCCTTATATCTTAAAACAAATATCTTAATACTTAATACATATATCGAAATGCCGTTTCAAGGTGCCAGGCGCTACTATGATGCAAGACGCCAAGGCCAAAGCGGAGAGATGGAAAGGCCACTCATGTCAGCCTGCCAGACGCAAAGCTGACCAAAGATAGAAAACAACAGAGTGGCTGTGACAGGGAGTTGTTTTTGTTGCTCTCCATGTCTTACTCCATGATCTGAAACAAAACCTTAACATAATTGTTATTTATCTAAATATATTACATGTAGAGCAAATGTGACATATGAACAAACATTTAGCAAATCTTAGACTCTAATCTTACCATAAACCAGTCATGGAGCTGCATCTTCTCCAGGACAAGTCTCCGCTGCGGATCAGGCTGCAGACAATCACAGATCATCTGGCAGCATTCTGTTCAAACAGATGAGAGAGATGTCTGATTATTTCCTTATGTTACACCTTTTATATTTAGATTTCAAATTGCATACTTTCATATTTAGAATTCAAATTGTCCAACTTTGTTCTTTGATGAAGATCTCACCTTGTGATAGGTCAGGTTCAGACCAGTCCTTCTTACTGATCCTGTGCAGGTCTTTGTCATCTGGATAATACCCGTACAACATCACGAACAGCAGGAACCCTAATGACCAAACTGTCGCCGGCTTTGCGTGGTACCTGCCGTCGACATCAAACTCCGGTGGACAGAACATTTCTGTGCCTAAAGGAAGAGATTTTAATATTTAATGCATTTCTACAAGCAGAATGTGTTCAGTGAGCTAAATAACCTGCTAGCAAATCATAAAACATACCATTGAAGGCCATGTAGGCGGAGTCCTTCATGAGCGTGCCGCACCCGAAGTCGATCAACTTGACCTCCAACGTATCCGGGTTCACCAGGAGGTTCTCCAATTTTATATCACGATGGAAAACGCCACGCTCGCAGCAAATGTTAGTGGCATGAATGACCTGCCACATAACATGTCGTGCCATCTTCTCATCAAGCCTTTGTCGGAGCTTCACGAAGTTAAACATGCTCATGCTAGGCATGGCCCGCTCCAAGACCATGACGTAGTGGTCCGGGTCGTCCTGCCAGTCCAGGAGTTTAATTATCTGTGAAACGCTGGGGCCCTTATTGGCCATGAGTGTCAGGCCGATCTCTATGGGGAGCCGTTTGGGATGACCAGGCTAAAAGAAAGAACATATGATGCTTAGATGGAGTTGCTTTCTCAGATTAACAAGAATATAAGATGTTAGAAACTGAAAACAGTGACTGAGAAGCAGTAATATGGAGAGCACAGGCAACTTACAACTCTGATATATGGCATATCTGGTGTCTTGTCAGCAATTTTCACAGCCACCTGATCAACAAAATAAAGAATGAACAATTAGCATGTGCACAGAGATCATTCCAGTCATGAATACTAAACAGGTATGGAAAGTTTTGTAAGTAAAAAAAATGGAAACCTTCAGGCCGTCCTTGCATCGAGTTCCTGCATGCACATAGCCTCCTTCACCCAGCTTGTGGCCAAATTCATATTGCCAAAAAATGTGGCCTATTAAACGATAAACGAATGTTGAGCATTATTTTTTCATGCATTTTATAATTTTGAATCACACTTTGTAATTCTCATGTATTTATTATTCTTACTGTTGTCTGCCTCCTCTGCTTCATCTTCTCCAGTGGAGCTATCTGGAGTGTGGGCATCCTGAGGTTGGAGGACGTCCTGCTCCAGTTGTTCCTCAGGAGCAGGGAGGACTTCAGAGTCTGGAGCTTCTCCAAGATCATGAATCTCTACAATTTGCTGTAGAGAAGTCTGATCTAAAGTGGGGAATACCAATAAAATGAATAAAATATTGCATACTCAAATTACGGTAATTTTTCAAATTACGGTAATTTTTCAAATTACGGTAATTTTTCATTTAAGGGCACTTTTGGACAAAAATATAAATAAATAAACATCTCCAAACAATATAAATCGATTTGTTGAAATGGGAAAGTGAGAACTGGATTAAGGCAGTAAATTTAAAATTTAAAGAGGAGAATACCAATAATATGAATCAAATCACATAAATAATATGAATGAAATATTGCATACTCAAATTAGAGTGGTTCTTCATTTTGCAAAACTGAGAATGTGAGAATGTGTGTATTGTTTTAGATTATGGCAGTATTACCCTTGTCCAGCTCTTCCGCCTGGTCCTCTTCAGTCAAACTAACTGGAGTGTGGATGTCCTGATGTTGGAGGACGTCCTGCTCCAGCTGTTCTTGTACAGCAAAGAGGACTTCAGAGGTTGGAGCTTCATGAAGATCGTGGAGCTCTACAATAGCAATGTTTAATAAAAAAGATGAGTAAAAAATATTGATAAATTCAAATTTTTTTAGACAATGTAAATCTATTTATTTGTGAATGAACATTCACAAATATTGACTGTTTTGGTAATGACACCTTAAGCTATCTTAAGAATCAGAAGTTATTTTATTATCATTGAGATACGTTATTAATATTAATAAAATATTATATATTTTTTTATTTTAATTTTGATGTTAAAGTGTTTTTGTCATTTTAATTAATTTTGTTTTGTTTTTAAATATGTCTACGTAGTTTATTTTTATTTATTTATTTTTGTTCTGGGCCAGTGATTTTTGTTGTACACAAGAACAATAGAAGTTTTAAGAATCGCACTTTAATCTAAACTTCTATCATCATATGTTTTTACCATCAGTAAGTCTCAGAAACGATCCCGCCTCAAGGTTCACTTTCTCAGCTTTAGCCACGTTGTATGTTCCAGCTCTTCGGCGAAAAAAGTGAAGAAGGCGACATCTCCAAAACCTCTTCTTTTTCTCTTTTCTCCCTGCCTCCTTTCTCCCTTCATCTATCGCATCAGCACCACCAGGCGTCTTATCGAGCCGATGAGGATGGTTTTGCGCCGTGGTGGGCGTGTATTTGAGAGGCACACAGGGTTGGGATTCGTGTGCTCGCTCCACTTTAAACACTTTCTTTAGTCGTGAAAACAGTCCCATGATAACAGTTTTTTTTTCACTCTGAAAACAGAATACTCCGAAACTTCAACCAACAAATTGAGCTAATGAGTTCCAAGCCTTTAAATACTAACATGTGACACGTTCTAATTGTTTCGTGACGTCACAGGGGGCTCATGCAGAAATGTAAGTTACAGTTGGAATGATTGAAATGCATGACCTGTTACTTTTGAATAATAACATTCATAGCTAATACTATAACAATGTGTGCGTGTTCTGTTTTATAGACCTATAGGTTACATGAAAAAAACTATTTTTTTCCTAAAAATCTTTTCTCAGGTCTTAACAGTAATACATTTTGGCATTGTTGCCATTTTATCTCATCACTTTGTTTATCTTATTTTATAAGATAAAAACATTGAATACACTGAATGCAACTCTAAAATCAACAATTGTTGATTTCAAATTTTAAAAAATTGTCATGCTAATATGGGATATGTTTTTGTGTGAAGTGAAAATATTTTACATTTCTGATGTTGATGTTGTTTTCTCACATCAAAATCCACCAACATATTTGAGGGTGAGTAATTTTTAATATTTTTGATGGGTTGCGTTGCATTATGACACAAAAACAGTTTTATACAATTAATGAATGCTTCGAGTTTAAGAATGGTTATTGAAATAGAGACAAAGGTAGATGGATGTCTGCCTGCTGCTGCTTTAGCGTATCCAATGAAACCAAGCATTCATTCCAGACTCTGGGCATCTTCCATAAAGAGATGGAGAAGGAGTGACCTTCATCCCAGAGGAATTGCTCTTCTTATCCAATCTCAGAACCTCTGGTAGTCTCATCTCTTCTCTGTTTGTTAGACACACAGCAGTGTCAGCGATGCCTGAGAGCACTTGTCCTGTAAAAACACTGCTTGTCAGTCTGACACACACACACACTCCCAGCTGTATTTTATTAATACAGCCTCATATTCTGGTGCTCTCCTGTCATCAATACCTTTTGAAATAGGTACAGATTTATCCCTCCATCTTCTGAAAAATGTACAAACATCAACCTAAAACACTTAAAGGCAGGCATTTATACTGTATTCCAGTGCTGGTCAATTGTGCCAGCTCCACAAAATATATATCCCATAAAAGGACTTTATGCATGACACACTCATTTTTTGGTCTTTTGAGTTATTGTATTAATAAAATATGCATTAAAAATTACAAAAGACTTTAGAAGCCTGAGAGCACTTGTCCTGTAAAAACACTGCTTGTCAGTCTGACACACACACACACATACACACACACACACACACACACACACACACACTCCCAGCTGTATTTTATTAATACAGCCTCATATTCTGGTGCTCTCCTATCATCAATACCTTTTGAAATAGGTACAGATTTATCCCTCCATCTTCTGAAAAATGTACAAACATCAACCTAAAACACAAGCTTAAAGGCATTTATACTGTATTCCAGTGCTGGTCAATTGTGCCAGCTCCACAAAATATATATCCCATAAAAGGACTTTATGCATGACACACTCATTTTTTGGTCTTTTGAGTTATTGTATTAATAAAATATGCATTAAAAATTACAAAAGACTTTAGAAAAAACATTTGGATGTACAATGCTATTTTTAAATTGAATTTATATGTATTTTCTAGTCTAAAATGAGCTCACTAAGGTGCCTTAAAAGCATGTGACCTAACCATGTCTCCTCTTGTTGCCAAAAATGTGAAGCACATGGCAAATAGATTATAATTTTACTGGTTGAAGGGGATGTCATTTAACATTACTAAAATTAAATTGTATTGGTTGAACATTATTATTGTATTGTAAATGCAATTTTCCCATTGAGGGCTAAGTAAGGCTCAAAAGCAAAGCATAGAAAAGCAATGTTTGAACGATTCAAAATTGTTCACACTCGTTTCTAATGATGTGATCAAACCAACTGTACAAAATATGAGCCAGTTCAGAGTGCACAAGTGGCACAGGGGACTAAATGATACGAACAATAGATGGAAACAATCTGAGAAGGAGAGGAGGAAGAGTACATGTAAGAAGTAGAGGATGAGGAGAGAAAGAGTAAGGTTTAGAGAGTGCTATCAAGTGCTATTTTTTCTCTTTGTCTAGCAAAAAAAAACAACATTACTTGTGATGTGGACAAAGTCCTCAGGCCGGACTCAAGCACAAAAACATGATGCTGAGACAGAATGAATCTCTCATTGACCCTGATTTTACAATTGCACAACTTAAAGTATTTGAGTGTACTGTAACATGTTATTCATTTAGTTTTATTTGACCTTTTTGGCCTTTGCAGTTGTACTGCAGTATTTTTGCAGTATCCAAGTGCTGAATATATACAAACATTCAGTACTATTCAATATTCAGCACAATACTATTCTTGCAGTACATACAGTAGGCCTATATAATATAGTCACCTTACTCAGTTGCAATTACTATAATTTTTTTTTACAGAATTGCTAAATTGTTTTCTCAATACAATATACTTTTTTTCTTGTAATGTTCTGGATGCTGTGTTCTCCATTTTCTCTGTAGTGTCTAATGAATGCTCTGTAGTGTTTATTTTATTGACTCATGTGTGTGTGATCTGAGAACACCATTTGATTTTGAGTGCAAGTGAAATGGTTTTGCAGTGATTGTTTGATTTTGATGGAAGAGTCAGAGGTTTCGTGAATTTAGTTTGAGTATTTGGATTTGTGTTTAAGCTTTTGAGAAAATGAGTAATGGTTTCAAGAAATGTGTTTGAGCAATTCAGAAAAACTGTAATAGCACTGGGACATGGTACATAATGTACAGGTACAAACATACTATTTTAGTGTTCCTTTTTTGTTTATTGAGTTTAATCCTTGTGCGATATAAGGCTTGCTGTTGATGGAGAGCTTGAACCCAAAACTGAACTCAAACAATGAACAGGGTAAAATATAAAAGTCTTCAATGGTCAGTAAAACAAGACGCTTAACCCTTAAAAATATTGATCATTAACTTTATTTTAAAATAATTAAATAGACTACACACACACACGCACACGCACGCGCACGCACACGCACACGCACACACACACACACACACACAGACATTTGAAGACATTTTATGTGTTTAAGACTTGCTATGTTTCATGCTAGTTCGTTTACCTAACATATATAATGTTTCTCACAGCAAAATCTGTCTCTTATTCTTTAAAAACAAGTCATGTGACAAAAAGGTGAAGTGTATCCGTTTAAGGTTACATATAGTCGTACCCCATGGACTATTTTAATAACTTTTTTATATTGTGCAACACTAATAGAGGTGAATATAAACAACAGTGGAGTTAGTGGTTGAAGGATGACCACAGAAGTGAGGTAAGCAGCTTTTAAAATACTATTATGATCAGATGAACATGCTCCTTCCGAACTTTATATATGAAGTCCTTATATTGTAAGGAGTTTTTTACGATTGCTTAGCCCCAATTTAAAAACAAGGCTCATTTTGTCAAAACACACAATTCACACATCCACACACACAAATATCAGAACATCTCAGATCTTTTGCAAAATTAAGCACTTCATTCAAAACTTTACAATAATTTAACAAAACCCAATTTTTGTACCATATGGCACACACATGGTTCATACAGTTGGATTCTCTTTGAACCACTTAGACACTGCTGTGCACAATCTTAAACACTTGTAACATTTCTATTTTTGATAGTTTTTTTTTAAGCTATTGTTAAAGTACATGAATATATTGACTAAACACAACACATGAGGCAAGTACTGCACATCCATGAAAATATTTATTTCTCACCATATTGTAAAATTATTCAGTACATCATTGCAATTAGGCTGCATTTTGCACTGAAAATCAGAACATATTCCAAATACAATATACAGTAGTACATAAACTTTTGTGGAGATTAGAAAAAAACACCGTAGCATCCTCTCTTCGTCTAGCTGGATATGGCCAATTCATCCATATCACAGTCAATGTCCTCCCTCACAGGACAGCGAGGGAAGAATCTTCACGAATGGTGAATCCATCCTTACAAAGACTCTGCATCTATTAGGTCACAGGCCTCCTCCATAGCTTGAACATAGGGTCGGAGGTCATAAACATTCCACTGCCATGCAGAAGGGGAAAAGGAAAGGGAGTGGGTTGTGGGAGGTACTGGAATAATGGAACAAGATACTTAGTCTGTACAATACTTAAAAACGTGAGTATGTGGTCGATGTTGTAAGGACCTATTTTGGCATGCCGGTGGAGGACCCCATTCTGCATGATTGCAGCATATATTGTGATGTTACCACCACATTGACCCGGGACATTCAAAAGAGCTCTGTGGCCAAAGATGTTTCTCCCTATTCCTCTTCCTGCACCACTGCCTTTCATTTCTGTTGAAGACAAAAATTCACCTGTTGCCATTTTATAGTGCTTACACTTTGATTGTTGAGTTTACAGTTAAGCACCTAAGCATCTGCACACCTGATGGCCATGTTTGATCAATTACTTCATATGTGTAGTATTTTGGAAAGCAGTGCCTTAAAATGGCAAAGAAGTGACATCATGTTAGATTTCTGTGTCTAATGTAGAGAAGTGTATTTAGTATCTTGCAATATTACATGTGTGTAATGTTTGCTAAAAGTGGGAGGCTGAGAATGTGCTTATAGTTGTGCAAATTTGGGCTGAGGTTTTGCTCTTTGAGTGTAAGGTTTCACTAACTGTGAGTTATTTTTAATTTTAGTGTGTAAGCAATCGTAAAAAAACTAAGAACAAACAAGGCTGTGCAAATGTTTATACTGTAGTGTACAAAGTGATGTGTTGTATTTGCCCCCTGTACACCCTATGCTAGAGAACATAGATATTGCACCCACCTGTACGTTTTTCTTCTTCTTCTTATTTTTAAATATTGTCCTTTAAACATGACATGAGCAGCAGTATTTAACATTTTATTCATTTACATTTAGAGTGTTAGCTCAATTACTGTGAACCAAAGACAAGGTTCTAGCAAGATTTGAGTGTTCAAGATGTTGAGTTGTCATCAAGATTAACAAAAGACACTCTACCTTTTTAAAATACCCTTTCAAGAAGTCCTAAAGATCAAAACGTTTATTAAGATCTACATCATCATTGATGTATTATAAGACCAAGGTGCCTGGCTGTAACGGAAATCACAGAGTTGCTCTATTATCACTGAGCCTCTGAGAAAAACTCCTAAAACCAGGGCTTCAGATAAAATTGTGAAAAAAAGCGTCTGTCAAAATGTGCTGTAGTCCAGTGGTTAAAGATCTGAATGACTGTAGGTTCAATGCCACCAAGTGCGGATTCATGAACTAACACTATTGTGCCCTTCAGAACTTAATGGTAGATTGAAGTATGCTGTAATCTTCTTCATCATCTTTTGGCTAAGATCTCAAACATATTTGTTCCTTCAGTCCTCAGGTCTGGAACAGAAGATATAGAAACCTGTGAATATTGTTCATATTGCAATAACACACAATTTCCTGTTTTAAATAATCAGTTGAGTTTAAAGATTGTTTTCTGATGATAAATAGGAAATTCGTGTTCACAGTCTGGCTGGACCGTGTTCTGATGACAGTACATATCGGACTGAATTGTAAACTGTTGGCAGTGCAGCAAAGTCGGGTACAATCACAGTAGATCTGGCTCTGTCATAAAACTGAATGTCGTTTTGCCGGCGAGCCACTCTTTGCTAAAGGACCGAGACAGAGATTAAAACCTATATGGCACATTTGTTTCACATCCATGTGAACACATTTCATCCTTTCATCATGTTGAGATGAAAATGTTTTTAACCTCTGGATAAGTCGTTTCCGATGATCTGCAGCAATCACAGCATCTACAGTTGGTGGTTGAAGAGACAATTGCAGAGAGGATGCATATAAGAATATCACAGGCCACAAGGACCATCGCAGCCCAAAGAGGCTGAAGAAACTGTCAGAAAATGCACATGGTTAATATAAACATAATGGACAGTTTAGTTTTGAATGGCATAATTAGGTGAAACCAACTGCAAATTGACCATATTGATGTTATGCAACATGAATACAAATGTTACACATTTTAAAGCATGAAATATATATAATCGACCTTGCGTTCAGCAGTATGAATAAAAATTAAAATTTTGTATTACACCCAAACACTTTGGCTTGATCTCCAGAAATTCAGACTTCCCTTTTAGGTGACATCCTGCCATCTTTAAACACTCTAATAGACAAGTGAAGATACAGTATGTTAATACAATGCATTCTTTACGTTCTCATTCCTGTCAGACAAAGGTTTGCCAGGAACCAAGTGTCACTGTTTACTTTCATTCTGAGCTGACACGTGAGAAGGCAATCAAACAGCGTGGAGTGAATAAATTGTTGATTTATTTGGTTGTAATTTAAAAAAAAGAGAATTCACAGTACAGGCTATATAAGGCTTTAGTTTGGGTACAATAATGGCATTACTTTATAGTTTTGCAAAGATTAATAATCATTATCATGCGATGCTGCTATATTCACTTTTTAAAGTTTTTTTTACCTTTTTAAGTTCTTTTTAAATAAAGCTTGTATTGATATTTTGTATTCCACCAAATGTACAATATGTAATCTTCCTCCAACTTCCAGTCTATTAGCAGCAGATCTGTTCTACAATTTGAGGAATATAATCACCTTGATGCTGCTCATCTTAGGTCTTGCCGTTTTTGTTTTCTCTTTCTTTTTCAGTTGGATTTTAGGTACAACACACTTTATGAGACTCCACCTCCTAAGTGAAACTTATGTAGAGAATGTTTCTGGCACACTACAGAAGTCTGGGCTGTGTAACCTGTACAGTATGCAGAAATATGTATCTTTACTTATAATGCTCGTTGCAGTTGCTCTTGATAAAATGCAATGAAATACCAATATTTGAATGAGCTGGCAGAGACTATTTTTGATGTTTTATGTTTTACTAAGATTGAATTGGTAATTTTTATTCCACAAAATGCACAATATAGTATCTTCCTCCAATTTCGTGTCCATTCAGATAAGCAGTAGGACCATATAAAAAATGTGTCCAACAACCTGAGGAAAATAATCACTATATTAAGAGATTACTTTACCCTTTGCTCTTGTTTTAGGTCTTGTCGTTTTCATTTTCTCTCTTCAAATTGTAGCCTAATCTAGGAAAGAAGCAGCTTGAGACTCCACCTCCTAAATACAGTTTATGCAGAAAATGTTTCTGCTGCTGCTGTTGGTGGCAGGGTGGCTCAGTAGCACTGACTGTCGCCTCACAGCAAGAAGGTCTCCGTCTGTATGTGTAGTTTGCGTGTTTATGAAACTCCACCTGGTCCCGCGGTTACTCTCACATGACATGCAGGACAGGTGAACTGTGTGTGTGTGTGTGTGTGTGTGTTATGGTGTATTTACTGCAGCGGAAGAAATCTGCTCAGTGCCGCTGAAACAGACGTGGTTTCCAACAGACGGCGAATATAATCAACTGCAATGAGTCCAATGTGTAAACAATACGATTTACTGTTTACAGCACTTTACTGTGTTTTCCTCTGAGAAAAAAATCTTTCGGCGCTCCATCATCCCCGTGACTCTACAAGAGGTTTGGAAAATGGATGGATGGATGTTTCTGAAACTTCACACTCTTCTGGGATGTGTAGCTTGTAGCCTATACAGTATGCAGCAATATGTCTCTTTTTTATAACACTGGTCACATCCGCTGTTCTGATTAAATGTCATAAAATGGCAAACACATGAATGAGCTGGCAGATACGTTTGATAATGTTTTATGATGAATAATGTCAGCTTATATTTACACACATGCACCTAGTAATTACAGTAAAAAAAATGTGTTTAACATTACAATATTAAATACAATATAATCTCTAATGTTAGTATCTGTGACGTGTCGGTTATAACAGAATTTCTAACTCTTGTAAAAACAATGAAAAAATACAGTTGTGCACTTATAAAGGACGCTTATGAGTTATCACAAATAAATGCTGAAATATGAAACTGTCACACTGTTTTAAAAGTGTATCTTTGGATATTATAAATTATATTCAGAAAGTAAATAAGGAGCTCCAAAAATGCTCGGTTGTAAAAATGCAACTGATTTCTTTAAGGGGCTAGAAATTGCCTCTAAAATAGTTCACTGAAGGTGCGGAAGGACATGGATTGTAGCTTGGTGGAGGTTCAGAAAGACCTGGTTCGTAACTTAGTGGAGGTGCAGAAGAACTTGGATCATAGTTTGGAGGATGTGCAGAAGAACTTGGATCATAGTTTGGTGGAGGTGCAGAAGGATACTGATTGCATTTTGGTGAAGGTGCAGAAAAAACTTGGATCGTCGTTTGGAGGTGTTGCTAAAGGACTTGGGTTGTAGTTTGCTAGAGGTGCAGAACGATACAGATCGTATTTCGGTGGAGGTTCTAAAGGACTTGGGTCATAGTTTGGCGGAGGTGCAAAAGGGCCTTGTTGGCCCTGAAGCCCAATATTGTTGTCAGTCCTGTAAGGCACATCTCTGTTTATGTAACTGACTGCAACATGCCTTGACTGAGAGAGAGAAAGATAGAGACTGAGAACACAACAAAAATAGAACAGCATTATTGTGTTGCAATCATTATTGCATGTAAATCTAAAGGGGATGTAGTGACACCTAGTGCCAGTTAATTAACCAATCAGACTGGATATGCAGATGAGGTTGTTTGTGTCAAAATGCAGTTAAATAATCATAAGAATAAGTGGCTCTTTCTGTGTCCATGAAAGTACTAATATGTAAATCTAATATACATTTCCTTTAAAAATATTCTGCATTTCCACATTTAGAAATAAATGATTCTAAATTATGATCGTGGTTAACTTGATATATACAGTAATTCATTTTGAAAGAAAAACCTTTTATATCATTGTTGTTTGAATCAGTATAAAACAATCATTAAATGTAACTCTTTTTATGTCAGACTGCTTTTTGTGAGTTTTTATGAGTATTTGTGAGCTCGAACAGATCTCTTTCAAAAGAAGACCTAAGGCTGACATTGCTGACATTTCAAAAGTACATTTTTCAGTTTTTCAGTTTAAAGATACAAGATTTTTGAACTTCATCTTTTTACCTTCATCCTGCAGCAGTCACAGGAAGACGAGGCAACAATAACAGAGATGATGAAGACCAGAACATCACAGAAAACCAAGAGAATTAGAGTCACACCCTGAGTGAGTATACAGACAGGACGATTACAAACTAAAATGCATTATTATTATTATTATTATTACTTATAAATATGTCTCTTTAAGAAACTGTCAGAAATGGCACATGATTTATATAAATGTTATAAAGGTCTAGTGTAGAGCTTAAATAGGCTACAATTAAAACAACGTTGATAATATTGATATTAGCTCTTTGTCTGGTAAAAAAAAAAGTCTGGTTAGATTGTAAGTTGTTTTAATTTAGTAAGAATGAAAGCATGAACATCTATTCAGACACTTACATCACTGTCAAGACAGTGAAATGGGATGGAGACAGCAGCTGCTATGGCATTGAAACAGTTTAGAAATTGTGAGATTCTGACCTGAAATGGGGAAAATGGAAAAAATGTAATGCATTGTAGTGTGAAAATGAAATGTTAAATAATTTTTATTACATATTCAGACTAACCCAACATGTGTTACGTGTACATGCAGCTGACACCGTCACAGATCCAGTTAAAATCGACTACAGTGAACATAATGAATATTGTTCAGTATATGTTCATTGCACAATGTTGTTATAGTGTTGAAATAAAATGCTTACAATTAAACATGACCAGAGGAGATATAAAAATCCTGTCCAGATTGTTAAGATTAACATCGCTATACTTATTGATATTTCCAAAACCTGTAAGATATAAAACAAGACAGTATCTGTTTCTTCATTTCCCCTCAAATCAAAATGAAAAATTTAAATGGAACAGTTTGTTTTACCCCCAGAATCTTTGGCCTGATCTTCAGGAATTTAGACACCGCACGATGGTCAAAAGGTGATGCTGACTGCTGCAAAAAGCTGGTTACATCTTCATGTCTAGGCATCTTTAAATACACTGAGAGAAATATGTGTCGACATGGAAATTGTAAGAAACTTAAGTTACGAATCTGATGCACTTAATGTTTTCGGTTACAAACGAATGTACTTTGCAAATATACTAATATCAGTTCTAATTTATTGACCTTACAGAAGTTAAAAGCATGCTTTTCTCTTTACTGTCAACCAAGAGGAAGAGGAACCAAATGTCACTGTGCACATTCCCAAAGCTGAAAATCAGGATTTACTAGAAGAGTTGCTCAGACGACACATCACAAGCTAATCAAACAGTGTTGGCAAAGACAGCTGATTTAGATTTCATTTGTAGATCTTTTTTTCAACAGAACTTAAAAGTGCAACTTCAAGATACTGGCACAGGAGACGTCACTATTTTCTGGTGGTCCATACAGAGTTTGGAAAGAACATGTTCATTTGATCCTGCCGGTCACAACACGTAAGATCTGCATGAACTTACAAATTTCCAACTACACAGTATATTTTTGCAATAACCACAGTGAGTACACAATGAACAAATAAAAAGGATTTATGTAAACTGGTATTTTGTTGTAGCTGCTTATTCCAGGTTTTACTTAACCCACAAACACAGAGAGATGGATGATAAATGTGCAGAATACTTACACTAAGTATAATTTTTTCAGCCGCCAACTTAAAATCCATTCAGATTAGTAGTATGTGTTAGTAGCATTTTAATGTAGTTTTTCCCAGTAAGAAGTCGTCTTTCTGCTCACAAGCAATGTCTCCACCTGCACAAAATATGAAGAGAATTATTCTTAAACGTCACACTGATGTAAACACTGGGTGAATTCTGGTTATACAGATAGGATTTTAAAGGATAGGAACAAAAACGTCCGAAATATTGGACGTTTTTTAAGAGACTTGCTGATGTTGGGGCATTTTGAGTCAAAAGGGTCAACTCAAAAAAGTTAGCATGGCATATTATGCAGTCAAGGAAGCAAATGATCATTTGTATCGTTGTCCAACTACGGTGTCTGAATGGCCAGGTGGTTAAGGTGGCCAGACTCCTGCACAAAATATGAAGAGAATTATTCTTAAACGTCACACTGATGTAAACACTGGGTGAATTCTGGTTATACAGATAGGATTTTAAAGGATAGGAACAAAAACGTCCGAAATATTGGACGTTTTTTAAGAGACTTGCTGATGTTGGGGCATTTTGAGTCAAAAGGGTCAACTCAAAAAAGTTAGCATGGCATATTATGCAATCAAGGAAGCAAATGATCATTTGTATCGTTGTCCAACTACGGTGTCTGAATGGCCAGGTGGTTAAGGTGCCAGACTTAACATCTTATGTTGAGATTTCTGGAGATGTGGGTTGGGTTCAAATCCATTCCCACTTCTGACAAGTGTTTTGGATTGACAGGACTAGAGGTCCCAGCTTCAGTATCAGAATAAGTGATTAATAAACAAGTAAGTGATAAATAAGTGATTCAATATCAAAATGTAAATGCAGTTTTAAACATCAAGAATAGTTTGCTTGTTAAAATACAATACAGGGAACCTAATTTAAATGTCTTTACTTATATTATAATAATCATCATATATAATCAAATAGTTAAATGTTGGAATAAAAACACAGAATAATGTCATGTGAAATTATGTTAAAAAAAGACCTTCATCCAATTACTGTAGCCCAGATGAAAGGAAAATACATGCAGAGAACTTCTCAACCACTAGGAGGAGATGCAGTACAAGGGTAGAATTTGTCCAGCAATTAGCATTATTGTGTTCTCAGCTTGGCATCGATAACCTGAAGTATCTGGTGAAAAACGAATAATAATTAAAATAATTAAATAAATAATCCAGTCGATATCAGCCATAATGTGAAACAAAGAAATTACAATTTTATTTAAAAGATTAAAACATTTAAAAAGTACAATCTGTCTTTTTCAGATGTCTTTTTGTTTTTTGATGTCTTTTTCAAAGCCTTTGTCAGACTCAGTGGTATTAGTAGTCATGCATAGTTGTGCCTAGAAGATTTTAAAATAATACAAAATTATTTTATCTATTACTCCATCAATAACAATAAATAAAGAAATAAGTTGTCATATACTTTGGGACAAGAACACATTTGCATTTGAGCGTTGTTTTGTTTCAGTCCTCATTTGCCACAACAAAGGACCTTTTTAGAAAAAAATTGTTGACAAAAAGAAATAGTGACCAGTTACAGCTGCGATATGCAATATGATGGACCTTCATTAGGCATTAAAAAAATTCTTCAGTGTGGATCTAAAGTAAAATTGAATGATGATACAACAGAAAATATTGACATCAATTACAAAACTACAATATATGATACGTTTAGGGTCTGCAAACAGTGTGTGGTTAAGAAAGAGAAACCCTGAGTTACAGCACCTAATACACACACACACACACACACACACACACACATATAAATAAATATTTCCTTATAAGTAACAATATGTGTTATTTGATTGAAGGCCAGGGCCTGCAAATACTTGCAGGACTAGCAACTACTTGTATGAAATTTAAATAACGACGATCTGATTAGCATAATGTATACACACACACACACACACACACACACACACACATCACACACACACACACACAATAATTATTATTATTATTATGAAAGTTATACACTTTCTATATTCCGTCTCTGGGTTTGCTAGGAGTCAAGGTAGTGGTTAGTCTGTAAAGGTTAACGACCCCTGCTGTACAACCAATCTCTGCTGTTGAGAAGTTGGATAGTTTTGACATCCCTTTTTGTTTACTTTTAACTCTCTTACTGTACAACACATTAGGTCTAAAATCAAAACTTTCGGTTTTCCACACGCTCATCCTCACAGCGAGATCTCTTTTCCCTAGTGAATTTTGCAGGCCAACCAATAGTCAATCAAATCTTCCGCTCCTCATTAATATTCAAATACAAGCGTCGTTCCGACGATGTGATTGGCTAGAAAAAAAGCCGGTCGCCTGAGAGTGAGCGGATGAAATCACCTGTCAATCTCCAAAAGGGCGGGATTTGCCAAGCCCCGATATATGTAAAAATACCATTCACACGCTCTCAGTGGCTGTGACACGAGTGAAGGGGCTTTTCGAAATAACATATTCAAATCAGTCTCCGGCGAGGGACGGAAGAAGTGCACAGTTTGAACAAATGGAGGAAGATAGCACTGAACAGATGAAACCCCTCCTAACCACAGTAAGCATAAAGTTATTTGTTGCTGTCTCTTCAGATTTTAGTGGTTGCGGGAGCGTTTCTGCGCGCGTTCATTTTAAAGAAAGGAAAGGGACGGGGATGAGGGAAATGGATGCGGACTGGTTTAAAGCATCACTTCCTTTGGGTTGTTAACGACCCAAGAGCTTCCACATTGTCTTAGTGGACTTGATAGGGGTTTGTTTTGAGATTGTATTGCTGTGGAAATGTGCTTTCATTGTTTTGGGGTGGCCACGCTTCTGCCAGGAAGTGTCGTTCTATCATTGCGTCACAATAACGGTGAAAGACGAGCGCAGTAGACTGTGAATCCCTCTCTCTCTCTGGCACGAAACACACTTTATAACATTAAAGCAAGAGTTTGGTGTTTATTATGTCTTTATGTATTTAGTTTTTTGCTTACGTGATTTGCTATTTAAAAATAGAAATGTGTCCACAGTTTTTATCTTACCATTTATAAAATGACTTTCTGATCTATAAATAAAAAAAATATGTCATAACATCCTCTTGGATATAAACACTTGACATTGAAGTCCACTCATTTTTATCACTTTGTCAGTGGGAGACTAAAATATCAACCTAGTTAACATGAATTTGTGTAGTAAACAATTGATGATTCTTTCTCTCTCTCTGGCTATTATTATTTACATAAGTATGTATAAGTAAGTGCCCTTTCCTCTGTCCCTCTCTTTCAGTCCTCAGAAGCTTAATTTCCATGTAGTCATAACGTCTTAAAGGCACAATATGTAAGATTTTTTTTATTAAAATATCCAAAAACCACTAGAACAGTGTTATATATTTTGCTGACTTGTGTACTTACATTATCCCAAATGTTTCGAAGAATGTTTAAATCCAGAGAAATAAGCAATTTTAACTAGTGACACGGACCGTGTCCATAGCGTCATTGTGTCGCCTGCCAATGACGTCATAACCCCTCGATTTCCGAGGTTTTGTTTTGTAGAAAACATGGAAACACCTTTAATATGTTGTGCGTTTTAATAGACCGGTGACGACCGCACAGAGTAGCAGTGTTTCAAAACAGTCAATCCACAGTCAAATGCACACGGCCTGCATAAAGTAGCTGTGATTTTTCGCGAACCGTTGTGACTTCCGTAAAAAGGTGACGTTAGAACTACTCGGTCACCACCCCGAGCACTGCCCACAGTCCCACTCTCCTTTTACCAAACCCCCAGACAACATCACGTCCATGCCATTGCTGAGCAACAACAACACGGAAACATGTCGAGAAAACGCTGTTCAGTCTGGATGTCAGGAAACTACATCATTGCACAGTAGGGCTGTGATGGTCGCCGTGACAACCGCTGTCTATTGCCACCAGCGGTAGTGCACGTGATGTCAGTCACACACTCTGTAACAAGCATAATACAAAGTTTTGTGACATGACCCTAGTTACCTGTGGTTGGCCTGGCCGTGCGCCACTCAGAAAACAACAGGCCAATCAAAAGAGAGGCTCATGAATATTAATTAGACAGGCCAAAATCGACCTGTTCTTTGAAGAGCTCCTGAGAGAGGAGCTGTAAAAATATATTGAGATGGTTTTTGGTACTTACACTGCAAATATATATTCTTAAGGACATCAAGACTTAAAATAAAACTCCAGAAAGGTGTAAAATATGTGACCTTTAAAGGATTAGTTCACTTCCAGAATAAAAATTTCCTGTTAATTTACTCACCCCATGTCATGTTTTTATTCTGGAAGTGAACTAATCCTTTAAGTGGAAAACTAAATGGCAGTAAGCGGTAGCTTGACAGTATTGTGTCTCATAACATCCAAAATGCAATGGATTTGATGAGTCATCAATACATAGCCGAAACAGACATTGGATGGCTTGTTTGGTGCGAAGATAGTATTACATTCGGAGCATCAGGTGTGTTTGCATGATATTTTGCTTGATTTGCAACATTTAAGATCATGCAAAGGATAAATTCATTTTTTTAAATTTTATGATTGTTTTATTTACATTCAAGAATATTGTTACTTTTGATTTATCTTTTCAAAGCAGAACATAAGGGCTTGTGTTTTCATATAAACAGTAACCAGTGGGCCCTCGGTGCACTGATTTTTTTTCTCCTTTTTTTTCTTTTCTACAGTGTATACAGAAGTACAGTATGGTTAATATTATCAAAACCTCAAGATAACTTGCTATTTCCACAATTGCCAGTCTGTTTGTGGAAGCTAATTTTTGCCATGGAATAGAAAATACAAAAGGTAATTCCGAGAAAGAAATGATTTTGAGATATAATAAACTCACAATTGTGAGATATAAACTAAGAATTGTGGAATATACATTTGCAGTTCTGAGAAGAAAAGTCATATTGTGAGATAAAATCACAATTGCGAGAAAAAAAGTCACAATTACCTTTAACGGTGGGGTAAGCGATTTTTCAAAAACGCTTTAGAAAACTGATTCAGGCCGAGTAGCAAAACAAACGTGTAGCCAATCAGCAGTAAGGGGTGTGTCTACTCGTGATGTGGAGGAGAGAGCGTTCAGTGCACAGGATGGACATTAGCCGAGCCGAGCGACAGAAAGATAGAGATGGCGGATAAAAAAACAAAAGAGGAAGACGTCTGCGGAACAAAAGAAGGCTTAAGGCAAGAAGTAGGACCCGTGTAAATATCGGATCAGCTTTCCAGCGCTGGAGAGAACTCAAGGAGCGGAGGCCTGCGATCGGACACAGAGGTTGCTTTGTTTCTTCTCGATAAGTGAGTAACACCGTGTCTGCGCCGCAACAGCTAAAGTCCGTCTAATACACTGGACGCGACAAAGCGACCATTGAAAAGGTGGGGCGGAGCTATCAAAATAGGGGCGAGACCCTTTTGGGGTAGGGGCGTGTTTGTTTTGGTGATTTCAAATGTCAACATTGGCTACCAGAAATCACTTACCCCACCTTTAATATATACAGTATATATTTTTAAATTCTGTGGCAAAAAAAAACAAAAACAGAATTATGAGAAACTCAGACTTCCGAGAAAAAAGTCAAAATTGCATGACAAATTCAGAATTCAGAGTAAAAAAGTCATAATTGTTAGACTCTGAATTCTGAAAAAAAGTCTGAATTCTGAATTAAAAAGTCGCAAATAACATATTCATTTATTTCTATTTTTTATTCTGTGGCAAAATAAGCTTTCATACCTGTTGGTGCAGGTACACTTAAAAATGGTGTAGAAAGTTGCTAGTAAATTTCACTATTAATTACAAAGACACGGCAACTAACATTGAATTAAATATGAAATTTGGAAGCAGAAAAGTGACATGGCATTTTCTTGTAAAACCTACTCTATTAATCTTTGATTCATTTACAGCTTCAAAAAATGTTAACAGTGTATGTTGTCAATATTATGTAATACTGTTTAAGGTCCAAATGGCAAATCTGAGTCTGAGACTGGAATTCAGATGAGGAAAAGTTTGTGGGTTTTTGCATAAATATGTATAATGTTTAGATGTCACTAAACAGAGTTAGCTTTCTATTTATCTGAAAATGTTGCAAATGGCCAGTTCCTGTTACGTAACGAGCCTTGTTTTGATTTCCACCTGTTGCTTACTTTACTGCTATCCATCACTCAGGTGTCTTCAGGAAAATGATGATCCTCCTGTTCTCTTTCATGACTCTGTCGGGATATTGGCGATGAGGAAAGATTTCATGGTTTGTTGAGTGTGCGGTATCGTAACGTTACATCACTTGTTCAGATGGAAGATTAGACAGGAAGTTTGTCATTGTTCTCTGGCTGGAGGATCAGCAGCTCTCGGGGGTGCTGGGACCCAGCAGACAATGCTGTTGATAAAGCCACAGAGGGCACAGCTGTAAGCTCAGCAGGTTTAGAGTAGTTGGGACAGTAGTAGGAGGCGCTGTGACCTGTCTGCGTGCAGTAGTCAATAGGGCTGTGTATCACCAGCAAGTCAAATCTCTGTGACGATACATCGTCGTATCGATATTTTGAACACAGCACTAGTAGTCAACACAGTTGCTCTGCTACAACTAATTCACAACAAGTCTTTCCAGTCCCACTTGTTGACATCTGTTGAAAGTGATTCTTTGAAAATGCAATTCATTAACTCAGTATTGATCAGGCGTAATGTTGGCACAATGTCTGTCCCTATATAGAGGGAATTTGGAAACATTTTATTTTGAGGGCGAATCTGCAGAATGGATTTAAATGGAGCTGAGAATACTGCAGTTTTATCTGTACCACAAATATTTATTCAATCACAGAAGGGGTGGCATTTTATATAGATTTTTGTAAATGACAAAATCTCTAATCACAGTCAAAGCATTTCTTCAGAGGTGGGTTTTATTATTGTGTTGTAAATATTTCATTAGATGAGCATTTGTTCAGCAGTGCAAAGTCTAGCTATTTGCCAGTGCTTAGTATTAGCATAATCTGTTTTATGTTTTTATGATTTTATCTGAGAAAATGATTTACAATAGTATGTTACTTCAGTTTTATTTTCATAAATGGCTGCAAAATATTTAATCCATGAGCATAGAACCATAATAATTAACCAAAGTATTTAATAAATGTGCACAGAACCATAATAATTAACCAACATATTTAATAAATGAGCACAGAAGGAGTGGGATTTTCATATGGATTTTTATAAATGACAAAATCTGTAATCACTTGTAAAAAAACAAAAAAAACAAAAAAACATTTATTCAGAGGTGGGTTTTGTTGTTTTGTTGTTGTTTGTGATGTAAATATTTCATTAATATTAGATGAGGGTTTGTTCAGCAGTGCAAAGTCTGTTTGCCAATGCTTAGTATTAGCTTATCTGTTTTATATGTTCATGAGTTTATCTGAGAAAATGATTTACAATAGTAAATGTTACTTCAGTAATGCATTCATAAATAGCTGCAAAATATTTCATAAATGGGTGGGATTTTTATAAATGACAAAATATCTGATCACATGTAAAAACAGTCAAAGCATTTCTTCAGAGGTGGGTTTTGTTGTTGCACGTTTTGCA